TAGTCCTGACTATAGTCTATTCTATAGTCCTGACTATAGTCTATTCTATAGTGCTGACTATAGTCTATTCTATAGTCCTGACTATAGTCTATTCTATAGTCCTGACTATAGTCTATTCTATAGTCCTGACTATAGTCTATTCTATAGTCCTGACTATAGTCTATTCTATAGTCATGACTATAGTCTATTCTGTAGTCCTGACTAAAATCTACTCCTGGCTAAAGTCTATTCTATAATCCTGACTATAGTATATTCTATAGTCCTGACTATAGTCTATTCTATAGTCCTAACTATAGTCTATTCAATAGTCCTGACTATAGTCTATTCTATAGTGCTGACTGTAGTCTTTTCTATAGTCCTGACTATAGTCTTTTCTATAATGCTCACTATAGTTCTTTCTATAATCCTCACTATAGTCCCGACTATAGTCTTTTCTATAGTCTTGACTATAGTCTAATCTATAGTCCTGACTAAAATCTACTCCTGGCTAAAGTCTATTCTATAGTCCTGACTATAGTCTATTCTATAGTCCTGACTATAGTCTATTCTATAGTCCTAACTATAGTCTATTCAATAGTCCTGACTATAGTCTATTCTATAGTCCTGACTATAGTCTATTCTATAGTCCTGACTATAGTCTATTCTATAGTCCTGACTATAGTCTATTCTATAGTCATGACTATAGTCTATTCTGTAGTCCTGACTAAAATCTACTCCTGGCTAAAGTCTATTCTATAATCCTGACTATAGTATATTCTATAGTCCTGACTATAGTCTATTCTATAGTCCTAACTATAGTCTATTCAATAGTCCTGACTATAGTCTATTCTATAGTGCTGACTGTAGTCTTTTCTATAGTCCTGACTATAGTCTTTTCTATAATGCTCACTATAGTTCTTTCTATAATCCTCACTATAGTCCCGACTATAGTCTTTTCTATAGTCTTGACTATAGTCTAATCTATAGTCCTGACTAAAATCTACTCCTGGCTAAAGTCTATTCTATAGTCCTGACTATAGTCTATTCTATAGTCCTGACTATAGTCTATTCTATAGTCCTAACTATAGTCTATTCAATAGTCCTGACTATAGTCTATTCTATAGTCCTAACTATAGTCTATTCTATAGTCCTAACTATAGTCTATTCAATCTATAGTCCTGACTATAGTCTATTCTATAGTGCTGACTATAGTCTATTCTATAGTCCTGACTATAGTCTATTCTATAGTCCTGACTATAGTCTATTCTATAGTCCTGACTATAGTCTATTCTATAGTCCTGACTATAGTCTATTCTATAGTCCTGACTATAGTCTATTCTATAGTCATGACTATAGTCTATTCTGTAGTCCTGACTAAAATCTACTCCTGGCTAAAGTCTATTCTATAGTCCTGACTATAGTATATTCTATAGTCCTGACTATAGTCTATTCTATAGTCCTAACTATAGTCTATTCAATAGTCCTGACTATAGTCTATTCTATAGTGCTGACTGTAGTCTTTTCTATAGTCCTGACTATAGTCTTTTCTATAATGCTCACTATAGTTCTTTCTATAATCCTCACTATAGTCCCGACTATAGTCTTTTCTATAGTCTTGACTATAGTCTAATCTATAGTCCTGACTAAAATCTACTCCTGGCTAAAGTCTATTCTATAGTCCTGACTATAGTCTATTCTATAGTCCTGACTATAGTCTATTCTATAGTCCTGACTGTAGTCTATTCTATAGTCCTGACTATAGTCTATTCTATAGTCCTGACTATAGTCTATTCTATAGTCCTGACTATAGTCTATTCTATAGTCCTGACTATAGTCTATTCTATAGTCCTGACTATAGTCTATTCTATAGCCCTGACTATAGTCTATTCTATAGTCCTGACTATAGTCTATTCTATAGTCCTAACTATAGTCTATTCTATAGTCCTGACTATAGTCTATTCTATAGTGCTGACTATAGTCTATTCTATAGTGCTGACTATAGTCTATTCTATAGTCCTGACTATAGTCTATTCTATAGTCCTGACTATAGTCTAATCTATAGTCCTGACTATAGTCTATTCTATAGTCCTGACTATAGTCTATTCTATAGTCCTGACTATAGTCTATTCTATAGTCCTGACTATAGTCTATTCTATAGTCCTGACTATAGTCTATTCTATAGTCCTGACTATAGTCTACTCTATAGTCCTGACTATAGTCTATTCTATAGTCCTGACTATAGTCTATTTCTATAGTCCTGACTATAGTCTATTCTATAGTCCTGACTATAGTCTATTCTATAGTCCTGACTATAGTCTATTCTATAGTCCTGACTATAGTCTATTCTATAGTCCTGACTATAGTTTATTTATAGTCGTGACTATAGTCTATTATTAGTCGTGACTATAGTCTATTCTATAGTCGTGACTATAGTCTATATATAGATAGTGACTATAGTATATAGATAGATAGATAGATAGATAGATAGATAGATAGATAGATAGATAGATAGATAGATAGATAGATAGATAGATAGATAGATAGATAGATAGATAGATAGATAGATAGATAGATAGATAGATAGATAGATAGATAGATAGATAGATAGATAGATAGATAGATAGATAGATAGATAGATAGATAGATAGATAGATAGATAGATAGATAGATAGATAGATAGATAGATAGATAGATAGATAGATAGATAGATAGATAGATAGATAGATAGATAGATAGATAGATAGATAGATAGATAGATAGATAGATAGATAGATAGATAGATAGATAGATAGATAGATAGATAGATAGATAGATAGATAACAAGAGGAAGAACTCTCTTATCCATTTTTTCATAAGTATTACATGCTTATCATCAGTCGCTTTAGTTAGTAAATAACGGTGTAGGTATTAATTTCTTTTCCAAAATTATCATATCAATAACGAAAACCTTTACTCTTCCATCCCTGCCTCCATACAGATATGATGAAAATGGCAATACTAAGGGAACACCAGAATTCCAACCACCCTCACCAACACGTCTTAATTGGCAATTGGAACCATGTATATCACAAATAGAAGAAGCCGTAATGGATGCTAATAAACTTATAAATGTAAGCGTAATTTAAAGATTCTTTTCATCAAGTTATGTTATAACAAATACTCGTTCCTTTTTCTCTAGGACATTGATCTCAGAATTTTGGTACACAATCAATATGGCAAAGGATTCATGAAGAAATGCCGTCTATCACCCGATGCTTTTATACAAATGGCATTGCAATTGGCCTACTATCGTGACGCTGGACGTTTCTCTTTGACTTATGAGGCTTCAATGACACGTCTTTTCCGTGAAGGTCGTACCGAAACTGTCCGACCCTGCACTATTGAATCTTCGGCCTGGGTTAAGGCTATGGAGGATAAAAACACAACGGTATTGCAAAAAACCTAAAATAATAATGCGATTTTTTTAATTACAATTTTTATTTTTAACAGATTGATGAACGTGTTGAGTTATTGAAAAAGGCCTGTGATCGCCATCAATTGGGCTATCAAGATGCCATGTGTGGTCGTGGTATTGATCGTCATCTATTCTGTTTATATGTAGTTTCCAAATATTTGGAAGTAGATTCACCCTTCCTAAATGAAGTACTAAGTGAACCATGGCGTTTATCAACTAGTCAAACACCTCATGGTCAAACGCCAAAAATGGATTTGAAAAAACATCCCAACTGTATCAGTTCGGGTGGTGGTTTTGGTCCAGTAGCTGATGATGGTTATGGTGTCTCGTACATCATTGCCGGAGAGAATTTGATATTCTTCCATATATCAGCTAAGAAATCTTGTGATACAACTGTAAGTATAATCAGGATCTTCGACTTATGTTTTGTTTTTATTAATTTGTTTCCTTTATTCGTATTCTAGGATGTTCATCGTTTTGCTGATAACATCTGTAAAGCTTTAGCTGACATTCGTTCTATGTTTGAGCAGCATATGAAAGACCATCCACCTAAGAAATCCATTGCTAATGGCACCTCCACCTCAGCAGCTAAATGATGATTATACAATTAGTTAACTTTATTTTAAAGTTGTTTTTTTATTTTCTATTTTCTTTAGTTTTTTCCAATTACGTAGATAGAATATGTTGTGTTTTTAGTGTTAATATTATTATTGTATATTAGCGCTAAAATTACCTGCAAAATCAAATTAGAGTTTTGAGCATTTGTTTTCATATTTTTTTATTTTGATATATTTCATGTAATTTTTTATGTTTATTAAATCGATCTTTTTTTCTTTTTTTATTATTGTTAGCAATATTAGGTTAAGTTTAATTGTTAATTAAAACAACCAACAAATAGATTTCATATCATCGTTATTATTTAAGTTTTTTTTTTTGTACAAAAAGACAAATTTGTTTAATATTTTTTTCATTTCAATTGTGAGTGTGAAGTGTAGTCTTTTTTTTAATTTCTAACTTCAAATTAAAGTTTATACATTTGTAATTTAAAGTTTAACATGAAATTATGAAACTATGAAATTATATTCGTTAAATGCAATGCAATTTTATTTGTAAAACGTAATTTAAAAACAACTAAATTTTCAATATTTAGTTTTATTTTAATATATTTTAGTTACTTTTCTTTTGTTTTGTTCGTTTCATTAAATATTTCTCATATCAAAACTACAATAATGTTTTTAGTTAGTTAAAAATTTAGTAATTTAAGAATTTTTAAATAAAACAAAAAACAAACTCATATTATTAAAAAAAAATAGTTTTATTTGAAAAGGCAGTTAGTTGATGTAGGTATTTAATAGATTTGAACGTTTAGACTATTGTTAGAGTTTATTATTGAGACCATTAACTATTCTATAGTCGAGACCATACAGTGTTCTATAATTTAGACTATAGACAATTCTATATTCTAGTCTACTATATAGTCGAAACTAAAGTCAGAACTATAGACTATTATATAGCAGTAACTATAACAGTCTATATTCGATTTATCTAAAGCAGATATTTCGCATTGTTTTTTTTTAACATTTATTTTTGTAAAAAAAATAATATAAATATTCTACTAAACTTTAAAGCTTATTAATTAATAATCATCCCGCTATAGGATTTGCATGTATTGTAACACCATTAATTTTCTTCTCCACATGAGGACGATAGGTTTTCGGATTAACCGGTAGTTTTTCTAATTCATCTAAGGCATCGAAACCATCTATAACACGACCGAATAGTGTATATTTCAAATCTAAATTTGGTTGAGCAGCATAGGTAATGAAAAACTGGCTAGCATTGGCATTGGGTCCATTATTTGCCATAGATAACATGCCGCGATCAGTGTGCTAAAATGATTAACATAAAATGAATCAATTATATATCAATTTTTCAATAAAACATTATACAAACTTTTAGATTTTCTTTAAATTCATCTTCGAATTTGCGACCCCATATGGAATGACCATTTTTTCCTGTATTTGTGGGATCGCCGGTCTGCACAATGAATCCCTTAATGTTGCGTATAAAAGCACAACCATTATAATAATCACTGGCGCACAGGGCTAAAAAATTCTCACATGCCTTGGGACAATCTTCGCAGAAAAGTTCAATTTTAATGTCACCCACATCCGTGTGTAAAGTTACCGACTAAAAAAAGAAACAAATGAGTTGTGAAAACCAAATTTATGAAATAGAGCCACATGTGTAAGCACTTTAATTAGAATACTGTTGTGTAAATTCGTTTAAGAAATGTAAAAGTTTATTGAAGTAAATATTTTTATATTTAGTTTAGTTAACAAATTACCATTTTTTAAATATTTAGATTTTATCACACAATAATAATGAATTCTAATGTTTACGTTTATGGTAGAGATCTGTGCAGCACAAATTTTATAACGGCGTTTGTCTTTAAGCACATTAATGACGGGTAAAATAAAGAAACGTCGTCAATTGAATTTAAGACGTTTTTACACTATGCTGAATACTGCGGTCAAGCAAATGCTTGATATTTTCTATGAAGCTGCCAGATCGGTTAAAATATTAATAATAACGGTTCTTTAACTTAAAATCAATACACTGAGAAACAATTTTGTTTATCATAATGAAAAATTAAAATCCAAAAATATAAACAAAACTAAACAGTTAACAAACTTATGATTCATTCGAAATTGCATGCTTTATACATTGACTTTCGTTTTGAATTTATGTCCCATTGAAAAGTTTTGAGCATCTTTTGAATTTTTCTATATTTTACATAAAAAACTGTAAATAAAACCACTAATAGATTATTGGTGAGTAAATATTTATTTATATTTCAATTAGAAAGAAGAAAGTGCTTTAAATATTTCTGTGTGTTAAGTCCAAAACCAGGCTAAACTAAAATAAGATTCTGACAAAACGTAATAAAATAATAATAAACATAATATTTTGGTTTTTCTACGGTAAGCCGGAACTATTTTATTGATTATATTAAAAGTGAGAAAATTTGAAAAAAAGAAAAATTTAATGCTTAACGGATTTTTTTGAAATATAAAATGCTGTTAAAGTATATATAAGAATATATGAATATTTTAATATGATGCTTAAAAATTATAAATATAAATTGTTTGCAAATAAAATTTATTTAAACAAAATCTGAAACTGAATTTTTTTTAATTGTTAGCAATGAATAATTAATGCGGTATTTAAATTTGACATCATTAAACAAAATTTATTGTTTGACAAATAATTAAATAAAACAAAAAAAAAAATAGACATTTAACAAAAAAGAATTTAAATTTGGAATTTATAATATGATTTGCAAATTATAAGAAAGCAAGTGTATATGTGTTTGTTACAAAGATATAATATTGATTACTAAAAACTAATACATTTTTTTTGTTGTTTTTTTTTTATTTTTAAATTTTTTTTACGTTTTTTAAAGTTTTTAATTTTTTTTTTTTTATATTTTTATTCATTTTTATTTCTGATTAAATACGACATTTTTTACGATATTTGCTCTTAACAGTGATTACGATATTTCTTCGGTAGATAAAAATTGTTATCATCATTATTGAGTTGAAAGTTGACATAAGGAAATTTATAATATGATTATGCAATTTTGAACACTTTAGTTAATTTAGGAGTGAGTTGTTATTTATATAAGTATGTAAGTAAATAATAATATAGAAATTACTGGCCTCCAAACTATTTTAAACGGTTGCTTCTGTTTATATTAAAAAACAATGTTTAAGATGTTGGTTATTATTAGTTGGTTATTGCATAAAATATTAACGTTTAGGTTTTAAGTTTTAGTTATGTCAACTTATTCCTCAATACGATAGATAAGGAAGAAATTCTCGACATCTTTCTCAGCGGCTGGTGGTGCTTCCGGAGCTTTTCTAGACAACGGTTCAAAGCCCATAAGCAAGAAACTCTCCAAAAGACGGACACGATCAGTACGATTTTTACGTACGCACATAACGACAGCATCCACTTCCAGTTTATCTTCAGCAAATTCCAACAAGGAAATCAAAGTGTCCTTCGAATTTTCCGATGCCAATTTTTCGGGCATGGCTACGTACAAGATGTTATTGGTTGGATTCAAGACCGATTCCCATTTGGTGAATTTATTCTCAGTTACATGTAACTTGACAACAATACGAATGGGATGATCGTGTTGCAAGATCTGCCTGACTACCTCTTGACAGTCATCGTCCGAATATAAGGATTGTACATCCGAGTCGGAACATTCAGACGAAGCCGAAGAGCCAGGACTGCTAGAGCCGCTGCTGCTGCTAGCACTATTGCTTCTGTCGAATAAGCAGCTGCTGCCACCAGCTGAATCAACCGAAGATTTACGAGTGTAACCTGTAAGTAAAAAATATATTGTTTTAATATTTATATTTTTTTATTTAACTAGTGTTATTATATTATATTACCTGTTAAGAGTGACGCCCTATCGTGATCTGTTCTGTGGTGGGTAGGGACATCAGGACCACCACAGAGGCCCTACGCCGAGAGAGATACAGTAGGACTCAGTCGACATGTTGGTAGCGCAAGAAGAGGTAGAAATAGTACGTAACTTATTCTCAGCACAAGTAGCACCGAGAACGGACTCCGTAAACTCTCTTCTACTACTACTACTAAACATTGGGTCGCTATAAAAAAATATATTTCGAAAGAAAATACTTATTAAAAAAAAAATTCTATGAAAAGTAAAAGAAATGTGAAAAAGTTGATAGAACCATTTTGCAGTTTGTGTAATTTGAGGGGTTTGTTTAACGGTTTGTTGTAAGTGGTGGTAAATTATGTTTGTAATATGTAAAGATGCAATTTTGTTTACAAAATTATAGTAATTTGTAAAAACAATAAACTAATATTGTAAATTTTCATTTTAAATTGTAAATAATATTGTACATTATAGATTTTCAATCATTATATCATTCTCAATTTTGCAGAAAATTCAAAAAGTAACAGTTGAAGAAAAAGTTGATTATAGAGGACAGACAAATTCGGAAGAAAATCTAAAAATTTCAAAAGTCTACTTTTTCATCTATAGAATTATCTTGACTGTTGTTTAAACAAGTAGTATTTTATTAGCTTTATAAAATTGTGATATTTTATTAAAAAAAATATTTTATCGTATTAAATTATAACAGAATTATCTCAAGACAAAACATCTTAAACAAACAACATAATATTTGTTTTAACAATAATCAAATAAAAAAGTATGACATAGTTATTTCCTAAATAGTTATCTAATAAAAATATAAGTAAATTATCAAGATAAGATTTCAAAAATAAACAAAATACATTTAAAATTATTTTAAAACATGCTTCTTTGTTCAGCCCCCACAAAAACGTTATTCAATCACAAGTTTTCTACAAAATACAACACTGTACATGTTTTTAGCTCATGCTTGACAATCACACACCAACGTCAAGCATTTATTCAGCAAAAACATGGCGCCGCACAACTGTCAATTGTAGAAGAAGAAAAAAAAGCCGTACGTCTGTAATCGTTTTCTCCAAGCAAAAGCACATTAAAAATAGAACAATTTGCAAAAAAATATAAAAAGAATTAAAATAAATATCAAATTATAGAAATATTAAATAAAAAATGTCTATTGGTGTACCCATTAAAGTGCTGCACGAGGCAGAAGGTCATATTATAACATGTGAAACCATAACCGGTGAAGTTTATCGTGGAAAATTAATCGAAGCTGAGGACAACATGAATTGCCAAATGACACAAATATCTGTAACTTATCGTGATGGACGCACGGCAAATTTGGAACATGTTTATATACGGGGATCGAAAATACGTTTTCTTATATTGCCGGACATGTTGAAAAATGCACCCATGTTTAAGAAACAAACGGGCAAGGGACTGGGTGGTACCTCGGGTAGAGGCAAAGCTGCTATATTACGAGCGCAAGGTATTTTAGTTATAAAATTATATATTTCAAGTTGAATATTCAATTTTGTTTTTAATTTTTTAGCTCGAGGTCGTGGCAGAGGTGGTCCTCCTGGTGGTGGCCGCGGTGGTCCACCAGGTGCTCCCGGTGGTGGTCGTGGTGCTTGGCAAGGAGGTCCTACAGGCGGTCGTGGTCGTGGTGGTTTATAAATATTAGACCTCTACTGGGTTTCCAAGCGAATATATAGTACTTTCTTGGAAACGTATTTAAACAAAATATTTTTCTTTTAAGTAATTTAATTTTTGTAAGTCCCTCAAAGATTTTGAAGTTTTTTTTTTCTCTATATTATAAGTTATGTACCATAATGTTACTATTAGTAGTAGCAATAAATAAAACCATGATGAAGTGAACCTACTGAATTGTATAAAATATAAGTTTTTATCATTATTTTGGAAAAATTTATCAGATATGGTGGAAAATATTTAAAGACTGTCAAATTATGGATTACGTTACCAGCCTGCGGCAACAACCAATAATATGGAGATCAGTACGTGATTTTTGGACAAACCGTCGTATTTTACCTATTCATTAACTTTTAAAAACAAGTGTTTGTTACGTGACCTTTAGAGATGTTTTATTTATAACTTAAACTTGATGTCAGTCTATGTGAAAATAAATAAATTTTGGGATACCATCTTATATTGCTCTATGAAAGAATTCCAAGAAAACTGAAGGAAATTGGACAATTATTTTCAAAAAATCCCATTATAAAAATCCTCTAGAATTTTGAAATTAAGACATTTTTTATTTTCAATAAATCCCCCCCTTCTATAATAATCTTCCCGTAACTTAACAGTAAGACATTTTTGGTCATAATTTCCATATAATTATATTAAAAACCTATACATATTCGGGAAATCACTAACTCACTTAAATCTCTGGAAAAAGTAACTTTTACAAGTATGTACATATGTATGTAGTAGGTACCTATAACTGGCTTCCTTATAAGGCATTGTCCCGAAGAACACTTACACAGGAATGTTCGTCTTCAATGGATTTCATATAGGCATTTAAAGTGCAAAATTTTTATAAAATGAACATTTAATCGACTGTTGCAGATCTTTTTAAGGAAAAAATGCACCTAACAGATAACCAAGCCGTCTGAAAATAATCGACGGCGGCGCATTCATAGAAAGAAGTGGCGGCGGCGGATAAAATCACGGCTAAAACTTAACTGTGGCAAGTTTCTTTTTAAGGATAATTGATTTATTTTATAGAAAGTGTTTGAAAATTGCGTTTATAACAGTTTTTCAAAAATAAGTCGTATAAAATTTTGCTAAAATTGTTTTTTAAATAAAAAAAGTCTAACTTTCTATAGAAAAATGTTATAAAAGCTCCTTTTTGTTAGTAGAAGCAAAACTGTTATAAGAAAAATTTTCTATAAAAACACAGATTCTATGGTTTCTAGTTTAAAACGATTATGTGTCACAGAGTACAATTCCACTTGGGACACCTAGGATCTATTATGATTCCCTTTATGGAAAGTATATTGTAGTACAAAGAATAAAAAAAAGATAAAGGATGATTTAAAAGGTTGATTTGAAGAACAAAATCCAATTCTATATCACAAAAAGCTTTAAATATCGAAGCAAAAGAGGAGAGCTCAGATTAAGCACGACAAAAAATTTCCCAGGTCATCGTGTAGTTGTTATAAGAGTTAAAACAATACAATAATCAATCAATGGGTTCTAGGTCGATGTCCAGAGCTAAAAATTATGATACTTGAAGTGTGTACTTCCAAAAGTTAGACACTAGACAAATTGAAGTAGGATCGTCTGGGCAGTTGAATATGTTGAGGCTAATTATGGGAACCCTATTCCTAGTTATCGTAGAACCTATTCCCTAGTCGATTCTACTTGATACCTAATTTCATTTCAATTGGTCATAACTCACATATAAAGTTATTGAGATAAAATTATATAGGATTTTTGGAGGATCGGAACATATCTATGATCTGGTGATAAACATTTAGTGGGTGGTTAAAAGTCCTAAAAGCATTAAAATTTCTTAACAAAGGTTTAAAATTACAAAAGGCCTGGAAAAAATATATATTTAAATGGACAAAGTACATACAATAATTACATTTAATTAAAAATAACATTAAATGTTAGTTTGTCGATATTCGAATACTATACAAAGAGAGCAATTCCATGACAGTAATAAAATGTTTTGTTGTCATTTAATAACTAGACTGTCGACAGATAGCTCTCTTTATTTCGTTATTCGATAAAAAAAAAATATTGAAATTAAAGCAAGTTTTTAAAGAAAAAGCCAACAAAAGGACAAGGACAGTTAACAATTAAAGACAAAAACAAAATATATTAGTTAATAAACCCCTTAAAAATACAAGGGAGAAACAAGAAAAAGTGTCTTAAAAAGTTAGTACAATTGAGGCTTATCGAATATCATACAAAGAGAGCAATTCCATGACAGTATTAAATTGTTTTATCTGGACTGTCGACGGACAGCTCTCTTTATTTATATATTCGCTTAATTGAAACTATCATTAAAGGGGTTCAATGAAATAATAAATATAACAAATTACTTAATAAAGAAAACAATTAAAAACAATAAATAGACTTTTTTTTTAAATTATTAAATAACTACAAATATTAGAATTCATGTTCTTCAATTAAATTGTTTTTAACATGTTTACAATTAATGTGTAGTATTTAATATCATTGTGTGACGTCTGAATAAAAACAATAATAAATATCGTCATTTATTTTGAATGATCTTAATTTATTTTTATGTTTATTATAGCAAAAAAATTTAAGAAAAAAAAAAATACGAACAGAAATTAAATCATTGAAAATTTTTGCGCACTTGGCACAATTTTTTGATTTGGTATTTTTTTTTTTTATTTTGCATTTCAATTTCAATATTTTTAGTTTTACACATTTTTTTGATGTTTAAAATAAAAACAAAGTAGAAAAAAAAATTCTTAAAAAATTTTGTGTAATAGAAATTTTTGCGTGTGTGTGTGTGTATGTTATGTATCAAAATTTAAGGTAGTGAGTGAAATATATTGATAATTGAATAGATTTATTATGCAAAAAGAATGATTTATTTTGAATTATAATAAACCGGTAGAAGATATGCCAAAAAGAAAGGAGAAACAGAAAAATTTGTATAAAAATTATTCGAAAATTGTTTCGGAACTGGTTCTGTGGAAGCGTTATGGAGTAGATACTCGTTAAATGAACAGCTAGTTAGGGAACTAGTTTATTCATCAATGAATTTTGTTTGAATTTATCACTCTGGGAACTATTCTTTTCTCCGGGATTTTTGTTTTGAAATTGTTAAGTTTTGGTCCACTTTTTAGAATGATGAATGTCAATTATCTCAATTATAATCTCATTTACGATTAGGGTTTTAGAGGTGAAACAAAAAGTTATCTTTTAGACTTTCTCAAATTGTATAACAAGTACCAAATAACTGCTTCATTTTAAACTCTTTAGAAGTGCTTTAGAATTACAACATATTCCAGAGAATGAGATCTAAAAGTGAAAGGAAAGACAGTGATTTTCTTTGTATAAAAGTGAAAGCAAAGACAGTGATTTTCTTTGTATTCATTCTAGAACTAGTGTTTTCTAGAACATATTTCAGAGATTTTCCAGGGATTTGCATTTGTTCAAATTTTTTGAAACTTTTTCAAGTGAAGTTGTTTCGGAAGTAGT